GTCTTTGCTGTTGAGCAAGCGCCTGACTGTCAGCTCTCTAGGAGATGTGAGAAAGGCAGGTCACAACAGGCAGAATGCATTTATTCACCTAATCCCCATGTTTTGGTAAATCTCAACTGTGTTTTGTAGTCTCAGTCTAGAGTGCTTGTTTTAACATCTTCTAAGCATTAACATCTAAGCCTCTGTGAGATGGGAATATAGGGTTCAACTGCTTCAGTAGTGTTTTTGTTGTTCTTTGAGACAAGTGTTTCATATCGCCTGTGCTGGCCTCAGACTTACTGTGTAGCCAATGCTGACTCGAGCTCCCTATCCTCCTGCCTCTACCTCCTACTAAAGCTAGATCTTGCTTAAATTAGTCACCTTATTTGGTCCCAGGAAGGAAGGGAATCTGGCTTTCAGGTTCTCTGGTTTATTCTCTCCAGATTGTGGGATGCCTTCTGGGTAGAATGGTTACTGTACTCAGGGCTGATGGAGGGAGACAACCCCCTGAAGGAGCATGAATAGATTCCTAAAGTCACTAGCAAGACTGGTATTAAATATAGTACCCAATATTGTGTTTTTTGAGGCCTTTTGTTTAGCAGTCACATTGTGTCAGAGTCTTTGAATAGTTTTTCCTTCAATCTTTCCTTGAGTCATCCAGTTATCTTGAGCTTTGTTTTATTTAGATGAATGTCCCTGAAAGTCTTCTTCAGATGGTTTGCTTAAGTTAAACACTTGCCTGTAAGGCCTGCAGCTTTAACAGATAAGGCAGTTTCTAATCTGATACCAGGCCATAGTCAACAGATGGTTCTATCTTGGTTTGGTTCCTTTTCTGACAGTCCTGGGGCCAAGCATTTTACCCAGTGTTGGTTTCTTTTGATACAGCTTCCAGGATTGATGATCTAATGAGGTAAGTGTTAGGAAAAATTTTATTTTCTGAAAGTCTATCCCAGGCTTGCCTTAACTTGCCATATGCTCAAGGATGACCTTGAACTCTTGATCCTTCTGCCTTCATCTTTTGAGTGCTGGGATTACAGGTATGTACCACCTTGTCTGGTTTATTCAGTATTTGGCGTTGAACTCCAGGCTTCACGCATGCCAGGCAAGCACTCTATCAAGATACGTCCTTAGCCTCTGAGCTGAAAGTCATACACAGATGCCATTTTTATTTATTGATGTCTGTTTATCTCGTATGTTAACATTAGCTCTTCTCCACCCCCACAACCCCTTTTCCTAACCTGCTAGCTTGCTGCTCTCATTTGAACACAATTTACTTATTTTTGACTTAAAATATTTTATTAATCCCATTTTTGGAGTTGATAACAGCTGGATCGCTGATTGGTTGTTTAGAACTGACATTTGCTGTGCTCTGTGCTCAGGGCTCTTACTGAGTGCTTGTTGTGTGTGTCAAGCAAGTTGTGGAGTGTGTGATTGCCTTCTCCTTGTCATGTATCCAAAATGGTATCCTTATTTCTGAGCTCAGTTCAAAACCCTCCCTTCTTCCCTCCCTCCCTCCCTCCCTCCTTCCTTCCCTCCTTCCCTCCCTCCTTCCCTCCCTCCCTCCTTCCCTCTTTCCTTCCCTCCTTTCCTTCCTTCTTTTCTTCCTTTTTTTCCTCACTTAATTTATTATTAGCATGTGTATAGGCATATATCATATGTGTGTATGGGCATGCATGCCACACTGCACATGTGGAGGTCAGAGGACAACTTTGTGGCATTAGTTCTCTCCTTCCAACTCTTTGTGGGTTCCAGAGATCAAACTCAAGTGGTCAGGCTTGCATGGCAAGTGTTTTAACCCACTGAGCTCCCAGCCATTTCCTTCCAGGTGTCTTTCTGGGTGGCTGCAGCATGGTGCTTGATGCTGATTTTCTACTTGAATATTAATAAAATTCAGAAAATCTTTTACTCTTCATGTTTCATAGTCTCTAAAGTCTAGTTAAAATACCAACTTTTCAAAAATGGGAATTACCCGTGCTTCCTAAGTTCTGTATGCAGGTTAGGTGGGCTGTCACTCTGTGGGAGAGTATTTGTCTAGCATGTGTGAGGCCCTGGGGTTTGATGCTCAGCATGGAAATGTTTTTGTATGTATCTTGAATGAGTTCATGCAACACACACATTCACTAATGTTTATGCACACACACTTAAATCTACATACAAGCCATGCCTGATGGTGCATGCCCTTAAACCCAGCACTTGGGAGGCAGAGGCATGTGGATCTCTCTGAGTTCAAGGCTAGCCTAGTCTATGTAGTGGGTCCCAGTCCAGGTGGGGCTACAGGGAGACCCTGTCTCAAAAAGACCAAAAAAAAAAA